GCATTTACCACCCAAGCTTCACACCCCTATAAGAGTGTTGGTACTACTATACTTTCATACATTCCCTTCTTTGCCTCCATAGATAACGTTTTTTGACTCCACATATACCTCAACGCACCACTCACCTTTTTTCCCTCATCAATTCTATGATTAACCTCGTCCTTCAAAAATCCATCCGCCGACACGTCAACTCCCAAGTATCTGAAAACATTCACTTCTTCCATACTCCTCCTCCCCATTTTGATATCCAATTTTTCTTTATCTAAATCATTTGATACCCTCATCACCTTACTCTTGTCTATGTTCACTTTCAACTTTCTACCTTTACACACATTCCCAAACTCATCCACTAACCTTTGCAATTTTTCTTTAGAATCTCCCATAAGCACAGTATCATCAGCAAAAAGTAACTGTGTCAATTCCCATTTTGAAGTGAATGTTTTCAGATATTTAGGAGTTGACGTGTCAGCGGATGGATTTATGAAGGATGAAGTTAATAATAGAATTGATGAAGGAAAAAAAGGTGAGTGGTGCATTGAGGTATATGTGGAGGCAAAAAATGTTATCTATGGAGGCAAAGAAGGGAATGTATGAATGTATAGTAGTACCAACACTCTTATATGGGTGTGAAGCCTGGGTTGTAAATGCTGCAGCAAGGAGGCGGTTGGAGGCAGTTGAGATGTCCTGTCTAAGGGCAATGTGTGGTGTAAATATTATGCAGAAAATTCGGAGTGTGGAAATTAGGAGAAGGTGTGGAGTTAATAAAAGTATTAGTCAGAGGGCTGAAGAGGGGTTGTTGAGGTGGTTTGGTCATTTAGAGAGAATGGATCAAAGTAGAATGACATGGAGAGTGTATAAATCTGTAAGGGAAGGAAGGCGGGGTAGGGGTCCTCAAAAAGGTTGGAGGGAGGGGGTAAAGGAGGTTTTGTGGGCGAGGGGTTTGGACTTACAGCAAGTGTGCATGAGCATGAGCGTGTTAGATAGGAGTGAATGGAGACAAATGGTATTTGGGACCTGACGAGCTGTTGGAGTGTGAGCAGGGTAATATATAGTGAAGGGATTCAGGGAAACCAGTTATTTTATATAACCTAACTTGAGTCCTGGAAATGGGAAGTGCAATGCCTGCACTCTAAGGGAGGGGTTTGGGATATTGGCAGTTTGGAGGGATATATTGTCTATTTTTATACGTACGTATATACTTCTAGAATAACAGAATAACTTCAAGAGTGTATCAGTCTGTAGTGGAAGGAAGGCGGGGTAGGGGTCGGCCTAGGAAAGGTTGGAGGGAGGGGGTAAAGGAGGTTTTGTGTGCGAGGGGCTTGGACTTCCAGCAGGCATGTGTGAGCGTGTTTGATAGGAGTGAATGGAGACAAATGGTTTTTAATACTTGACGTGCTGTTGGAGTGTGAGCAAAGTAACATTTATGAAGGGGTTCAGGGAAACCGGCAGGCCGGACTTGAGTCCTGGAGATGGGAAGTACAGTGCCTGCACTCTGAAGGAGGGGTGTTAATGTTGCAGTTTAAAAACTGTAGTGTAAAGCACCCTTCTGGCAAGACAGTGATGGAGTGAATGATGGTGAAAGTTTTTCTTTTTCGGGCCACCCTGCCTTGGTGGGAATCAGCCAGTGTGATAATAATAATAAAGTATATACTTCTAAACTGTTGTATTCTGGGCACCTCTGCAAAGACAGTGATTATGTGTGAGTGAGGTGAAAGTGTTGAATGATGATGAAAATATTTTCTTTTTGGGGATTTTCTCTCTTTTTGGGTCACCCTGCCTCGGTGGGAGACGGCCGACTTGTTGAAAAAAAAAAAAAAGTCTGTTGTGTTATAGGTACACCTACCATCCGACTTACGACCTGCTCGACTTACGACCACTCGACTTATGACCGTGTTTTTTATGCCAAATTTCTGGGAAATAAACAACTATTTGTGTTGTACACAGTGTTTATCCTAAACCTTACAGTATAAAATACAGTACTAACAACATAAAAAGTAAAGTAAAACATGAAATACCAAAATAAAAGAATAAAGTCATTACAAAAATATTTTGTTGATATTTAGTAGTAAAGTTCGACTTACGACCATTTCGACTTGACCGGTTTCTCGGAACCCAACTCAGTCGTAAGTTGGATGGTAGGTGTAGTAGGTTGGTAGACAGCAACCGCCCAGGGAGGTACTACCGTCCTGCCAAGTGAGTGTAAAGTGAAAGCCTGTAATTGTTTTACATGATGGTAGGATTGCTGGTGTCTTCTTTCTGTCTCATAAACATGCAAGATTTCAGGTACATCTTGCTACTTCTGCTTACACTTAAGTCACACTACACGTGCATGTACAAGCATATATACACACCCCTCTGGGTTTTCTTTTATTTTCTTACTAGTTCTTGTTCTTGTTTATTTCCTCTTATCTCCATGGGAAAGTGGAACAGAATTCTTCCTCCACAAGCCATGTGTGTCGTAAGAGGCAACTAAAATGCCGGGAGCAAGGGGCTAGTAACCCCTTCTCCTGTACGTATTACTAAAGTTAAAAAGAGAAACTTTTGTTTTTCTTTTGGGCTGCCCTTCCTTGGTGGGCCAGTTTGTTGAAAGTAGTAGTAGTAGTCTGTTGAGTATACCTGGTACAGTGTATGGTAGAGTTATTATTGAAAAAAATAAGAGTAAGATGGAGAGTAGGATAGCATGTGAACAAGGAGGCTTTAGGAAAGGTAGGGGGTGTGTATACTAAGTGTTTACAGTGAAACATATAGGTGAACAGTATTTAGATAAAGGTAAAGAGGTTTGTGTGGCATTTATGGATTTGGAAAAGGCATATGACAGGGTGGATATGAGGGGGGTGCAATGTTTCAGATGTTGTAAATGTATGGAGTAGGAGGTAGGTTACTGAAAGCAGTGAAGAGTTTTTACAAGGATAGTGAGGCTCCGGTTAGAGTATGTAGGAAAGAGGGAGATTATTTCCCAGTAAAAATAGACCTGAGACAAGGATGTGTGATGTCACCGTGTTATTCAGTATATTTGTAGATGGGGTTGTAAGAGAAGTGAATGTTCGGGTGTTGGCAAGAGGTGTGGGGTTAAAAGATAAAGAATCTGACACAAAGTGGGAGTTGCTGCAGTTGCTCTTTGCTGATGACACTGTGCTTTTGGGAGAGGTTGCAGAGGTTGATGGATGAGTTTGGTAGGGCACATAAAAAGGAAATTAAAGGTGAATATAGGAAAGAGTAAGGTGATGAGGATAAAAAAAATTAGGTGATGAAAGATTGGATATCAGATTGGAGGGAGAGAGTATGGAGGAGGTGAATGTATTCACATATTTAGGGAAGGATGTGTCAGCAAATGGGTCTGTGAAGAACGAGGTGAATCATAGAGGGAAAAAAGGTGAGTGGTGCACTTAGGAATCTGTGGAAACAAAGAACTTTGTCCATGAAAGCAAAGAGGGAAATGTATGAGAGTATAGTTATACCAATGCTCTTATATGGGTGTGAAGCATGGGTGGTAAATGTTGCAGCAAGGAGAAGGCTGGAGGCATTGGAGATGTCTTGTCTGAGGGCAATGTGTGGTGTGAATGTAATGCAGAGAATTTGTAGCTTGGAAATTAGGAGGAGGTGCGGGATTACCAAAGCTATTTTCAAGAGGACTAGGGAGGGGTTGTTGAGGTGGTTTGGACATGTAGAGAGAATGGAACAAAATAGAATGACTTCAAGAGTGTATAAATCTGTAGTGGAGGGAAGGTGGGGTAGGGGTTGACCTAGGAAAGGTTGGAGGGAGGGGGTAAAGGAGGTTTTGTGTGCGAGTTGCTTGGACTTCCAGCAAGCATGCGTGAGCGTGTTTAATAGGAGTAAATGGAGACAAATTGTTTTTAGGTCTTGACATGCTGTTGGAGTGTGAGCAAGGTAACATGAAGGGATTCAGGGAAACCAGGAGGCTGGACTTGAGTCCTGGAGATGGGAAGTACAATGTCTGCACGCTGAAGGAGGGGTGTTAATTTTGCAGTTTTATAACTGTAGTGTAAGTGCCCCTCTGGCAAGACAGTGGTGGCATGAATGATGATGAAAGTTTTTCTTTTTCGGGCCACCCTCCCTTGATGGGAGACAGCCGATGTGTTAATAAAAAATAAATAAATTTACATTTCCGTCATTTTAGATATGCTTCAGGGTGTGGTATTCCACACCCTAAAGAGGTGTTACTTGAGTATGTGACTACACAAGTAACACCTCTTGGTAGCTTTCTTTATATTTATAAATTGTAGAAGGAATACACTCATAAGTACCTACCTGGCCCACATCTAAAATTTCTTTTGCACCAACTTTGCGCCCTGGTTCTGTAGGGATAAAGTATTGATTATGAATACTAAATCTGAAAGTGAATGCAAATAAAAGAACAGGACTCAAGTCCTGGAGGTGGGAAGTACAGTGCCTGCACTCTCAAGGAGGGGTTCGGGATATTTGCTGTTTAGAGGGACATTTAAACTGTTGTATCTGCACTCCTTTGGCAAGACAGTGATTGTGTAAATGATGGTGAAAGTGTTTATTTTTTGGGTCACCCTGCCTTGGTGAGAGACAGCCAGCTTGTTTAAAAAAAAAAAATTGTCTAATGACAGCTACATTGAATTCTTGTAGTTTTGATGCATGCTTTTTGTACAAACTAAATGCATTTGGCACTTCAGTATTCATGAAATGGAGAAACAATTTCATGTTTCACTTGAAATTTTTCTCAAAACATTCCACACCCAATTTGAATGTCAGATTTGTCAGTCAGATGCCATATTTTTAGTATAATCAGATGTTTATCTTTTGCCATGGTGCTACAGATGGTACTGCATGTGCTAGTTTAATTGCAGATTTAAGAATCTTTTTCTCCAAAGTATCTTTAATTGCTGGTAATCCTTTTTGGGTTATGCATTATAATTTTTGCAGTGGATGACAGGATTCAATTATGTTCATGCAATTGCTGCTGGTATTATGGAAAACAGTTGGTGTATTTTTATTTTTTTTATCACTTGTAGGTTGTTGAAGATGGGTACGAGTTCTTTGCTAAAAGGCAGTTAGTTACATTGTTTTCTGCCCCAAATTATTGTGGGGAGTTTGATAACGCTGGAGGGATGATGTCTGTAGATGAAACATTGCTCTGCTCCTTTCAGGTAATGTATTAACTGCACTTTCTTGTTATGGAAAAAAAACTGAGTGTGAATTATGCATTTCTCCTATTTCAGTATTTTTACTTGCCAATAAGATAGTTGTTTTCATTTCTCCTTGGAAATCTGCATTATATCTGACACTCAAGATACTATACTGAACAATATAAAGATTTCAGTATTTTTTCTGCCTATTCTTAACATAGAACATATTAAATATTCTTTAGTTCTGCCAAAATAAAAAAAAGTTAAGTTATAATTTTTTTAGACGTTTCATTAATATTTATAAACCATTAACATTTATTTATTTTTTTGTAATTCACTGTTGAGTAGATACTTTTGCATAGAAATTTGCCGTCCTATTAGTGCTTGCCTACACAGAATTTTAACATTGAGGTGCATAGTTATGCAGATTTATTTAATTCTCTTGAAGTTACATTTCAGTTGTGCTTGATATTTAACCAGTGTTGATTATTGCTGTTATTGAAGGAATGCTTTTCATATATATATATATATATATATATATATATATATATATATATATATATATATATATATATATATATATATATATATATATATATATATATATATATATATATATATATATATATATATATATATATATATATATATATATATATATATGAAAAGCATTCCTTCAATAACAGCAATAATCAACACTGGCCAACTCTCACTGAGGTAAGGCAACTCAAAATAAAAGAAACACATTCACTATCATTCATTCAATCAGTGTTCTGCCAGAAGCATGCTAACATCACAGTACAGATGACCCTCCTCAATCATGTTATACCTGCCATTGTTGTGGAGGAGAGGAGCGGGTGTTGTGGAGGAGGAGCGGATGTTGTGGAGGAGCAGATGTTATATATATATATATATTATTATTTTTTTTTTTTTTTTTTTTTTTTTTTTTTTTTTTTTTTTTTTTTTTTTTTTAACTTCAGCAGCCATCTCCTGCCAAGGCATTTAGATGTTAGAGAATCTTGATTATCATAAAAAAATTTCAGCAGTTTTACTTACAACATCCACTCCTCCATAACACCCATTCCTCTCTACAACACCCGCTCCTCCTCCATAACACCTGCTCCTCCACAACACCCGCTCCTCCATAACATCTGCTCCTCCACAACATCCGCTCCTCCTCCACAACACCCGCTCCTCTCCTCCACAACAATGGCAGGTATAACATGATTGAGGAGGGTCATCTGTACTGTGATGTTAGCATGCTTCTGGCAGAACACTGATTGAATGAATGATAGTGAATGTGTTTCTTTTATTTTGAGTTGCCTTACCTCAGTGAGAGTTGGCCAGTGTGTTAAAAAACCTAAAAAGTAATAACGCGATTCAAGAAAAAAGTACCAATCATGGCTGTAAAATTTGTGACATAGGGCTTAACTACACACATACATCCACACATAAATACAGTATAGAAATAAAAAAATAAAATAAACACTTTATGGGCAGGCAGTGATGGCAATAACAAAATTCCATAGAATTATTTTGCATCAGGAAGCTTGTTTTTCATGAAGTAAATAAATTTGTAAAATTATCCAAATTATATTACCCTTTTAATTTTTTCACATCAACAGATTTTAAAACCATCAGAGAAGAAGGCAAAGTACCAGTATAGCGGACTAGCCCAAAACCGTCCCAATCCTCCTAACCGGCAACAACGGCCGCAACAAAAAAAGTAAAGCATGGTTTGCAAAAAAGTATATATATATATATTAATAAACAAATAAAAGATGAGCCCAAGTGGTGTTTGTAATAGTAGCAGTGGAAGTGGTTGCAGTTGATGTTTATCACTTTCATTAAGTTGCTGCTTTTTCATTACATGAGATGCGATAGCAGTCCTCTCTGAAAGATGCTCATCTTTTAAGAGGCCCTTACCTTTATATTCGAGTGGTCACTGAAAATAGACTATAGATGCAAAATATTTTCCTCAGTAGTATTATAAGTTGCAAATAATCAGTATTGTGATGTTATCAATATTGATAATTTGTGCAAATATATAAAATGATTAACGTTGCATTTATGTAATGTAATCTTAAGTAAAACATGTCACAGTATTGAGTGTTGCAAGTCTTGATTGTATTTTTCTTTCATTCCTTCCTACCAACACATTTTTCTTATTTAGCTGTGTTCTTAGTTATTGCAGGTTACTTAAGATTCAATTTTAAATAATCACATTTTTAGAAGATACTATTGACTAACCCTATACTATACATGTATGTTTGTATGCATATAAATATATATGTATGTGTGTATGTATGTGTGTGTGTGTGAATATGAATTATGTGAATATGAATGTATGTGTATGTATGTATATGTATGTTTGTGTGTATATATATATATATATATATATATATATATATATATATATATATATATTATATATATATATATATATATATATATATATATATATATATATATATTATATATATATTTTATATATATATTATATATATATATATAATTTTTTTTTTTTTAACAAGTCGGCGTCTCCCACCGAGGCAGGTGTATATATATATATTATATATATATATATATATATATTATATATATATATATAGATATATATATATATATATATATCTATATATATATATATATATATATCTATATATATATATATATATATATTATATAATATATATACACACACACACACACACACACTTATGTATATATATAAACACGCATTATTTTTCCAAAGTATGATACAATATTTCTAAGGCTAGTCCAGATGCAGTCAGTGTGAATGACTCATTACATATGTGCAAAGTTAGGCATTCATATTCTGATGGGGCTCACAGCTATTCAGGGCAGTTCTGGCTCTTAACCCATATATTTAGGAATGGTACAAGAAACACAGCCCTAATAAAATGCTATCATCAGATGCCCTCTTAGCATGTTCTAGCTTTCCACATCTTTATTCTAGTATGGAGTGAAAATTGGAATGCAAAATATTGGAATATGTAGTAGAGAGTATTTTAGTTAGCATCATTGTATTGAGAGTGCATTGTTTCTTGTGTTTGTGTCCTAATTATGGGCCTCCAGGACCTGTACATATGTCTATGGCTTAATTTCTGAAATCTGGCATGAGATTAACTTTATAATGCAGTACTCTAGGTTTTGTGTCATTTTATTTTATTCAGTTTTTATGGTACAATGTATAATGTTTTTTATGTATTATATTCTTATACCAAAGGAATTTCATCAAATGCTGTATTAGTTTACAGCTGCCCAATGTGGTCCTGCTAAATGAAAAGTAATGATCATGTTTGTTCAGTTCACTCGCTTGTTTACTGCCAGAATCCCTGCTTTCAAATTGAATCTTACTGGATTTAAGGGAATCTCATGCAACATTATAGAATGTGGGCCCTGGAAAGAAAAGTCTTGTCTTCCCCTGTATTATTTCCTTCAAGTGTACATTAAATAATTACCAGGATTGATTATAGCCTTGTTCTAGCAGTGGTGAAAAGTCCATGCCATTGTATGCAAATTATAACCTGTAAACTTAAGGGAGGAAATTCAATTGTTGGTTCATACCTTGCACTACTTACCTATGCACAAGTTAGCTGGATGATTTCGGTTAAGAATAACTGTTGAGAGCTGTAAAGGGGGGCTGAAATAATATCCATCAGCTGTTATCATGTGCAGGAAATTGATTCTAGATTCTGTTTTTATGTTATAGTGAACCTTTTATCAGGGCTTATGTTCTATTACTTTTTTTATTCGAGGGGAGGTAGACATTTACGAGGTACCTTATTTGTAATGTAATGGCATGTGCATTTTATAGCCTTATGCTAAACTTCTCAAATGCAACCAGTGTGAAGAGAGTACTCTTTGTCTGGTAAATTTTGGTATGGTACTTAGTCCAGACTTGGGTTGATATTGTTCCCTGTGTCAAGGATGTTACTACATATTTAAAAAAAAATTATTATTTTCTTACATTTGGTGCAAAGAAAATGTTATTTTACATGCATTGATACATTTATCTTGTGTTTTAAACGGTTTGTAGTGGGTGAAGGCTGGAATACAGCAAAAATTTGAAAAATCAAAAAAAGTTAGGTTGTTGCACAAAACAATATTAAATTAGATAGCAGTTCCACCTTGTAAAAGATACAGTATATTAAAATGTGCCTCATATAGTTACCTATCAGATTGAATATGTCTTTCAATAAAGTAACAAAGTACAGTAGTCCATCGTTATTAATATATAGAAGTATGTTATAGTGCATTTAAATCAATATTGGAATTCATCATTATTAACTGGATTATGTCACTTGTCACATCTGGCATAATATCTGCAATATTCAGGAACTGAATGGTTTAGTTTGAACTGATTAGAGCACTGTCAACCTAGTTTGAGTTATTCATCCAAAGCACCAAAAGCAGTATTTTTGGTCCTATCATACAAAAAGTCACTTTTTTTTCTCTCTGTTTGGGCAGTCTTGTGAGACTTTGGGGTGATCATCCATTCCCTGGAAGATGTTCAGGTATGGATGCATATGAAGAGCTATCAGACGTTTTTCCAAATGCAGTACAAGTCATCAGGGACATAAAGAATGGTAAAGCACCAAGTGGTAAATTTTTTTTAGATATTAGTTTTAAAATGGTATTAAATTGGTAAATAGTTTTAAACTGTTATTAAATAAGTTGGTAAATAACAATATAATTTTTTTTTTTAACGCGTTGGCTGTCTCCCACCAAGGCAGGGTGACCCCAAAGAAAGAAAAACAATATATATATGCAGAAGAATAAAAAATATTAATAAATTTTGAATTAAAAAGTTGAATCATGAATAAACAAAAAAACAATTGAAATTCATGTATTCTGTCCTTTAAAATTTAGGACTATATAAACAATTTCCAGCTCAGCTTGTTCAGTCACTGAAAGATGCTAGGATGAAACATTAGTTTAACAAGAGAGCACAAGTGCTTGGAACAGTACCATCATTGCATTGCTTCTGTTTCAAATTTCTCATTATCCAACCTTCTTATTCTGGCCTTGGCTACATTGGCTTTGTAATTTTTTCTGATGGTTAGGTTATCTAACATTAATTTCCTAGATCTTATGCCTTTTCCTTTTGTTCTGTAAGTTGATATGACTTCATTTTGTTATCCTGTACTTGATTTTGAATTTTCATTTTTTCCAGTTGGAATTTGTCTGTTGAACATCAGATTATTTTCTCTTACTGAGTAGATGATTGTGTCAATGCAATATCAGATGTATTTTTCAACAGCTTTTAATGAGATAATTTCTAATTATATTTTGGCATCCATGAAAGATAACACCCAGTTGGTTTGTTTTTTGTTTGTCTATGACTAAAATTTCATTTGTTATTACTATCACTGTGATCTGTTTTAGTACATTGCATACTCTCCTTCCTACTTTACCTGTTATACCTCTTGGCCATATTTTGTAAGCTATCACTCCATGATCATTTGTTAAGTGCTTTTTGCAAAATCCCTGTCTCTGTAAAGCAAGTTTGTTCTTTGCCTCTGTGACCTTGTTATAGTAAGTTTGTTCTTTGCCTCTATGACCTTGTTATAGTGACCTAATAGTTTTAAGAGGCAGAATTTTCCTGCTCTAAATCCCTATTGATTTTGTTTAGCTCATGCTTTCCTTTAAAATAAGCAAATTGAATTCTTAGCACTTTTTTCAAAGATTTGTTATGTGTGATGTTAGTGCTACTAGTCTAATTTTTTGCACTGGTCTGCTGCCTTCTTTATTAAAGATGAGCTGTGTGGTCTTTATTGCTTCTAGTTTATTAAAGGCTGTGATCTAAATGTTCCAAATGAATTTGCAATGAGTGGTTTTGTAAATGTCAAGGAAGGAAATGCAGAAGCCTTGCAGAGTTTGCCCCCTACTTGCACATAGAAGCTGGAACACAAAATGCCAAGAATTCTTCTAATATTACAATTGAAACGTTAAATCATTATTAAAATTTTCTCAGTTTTATGTGGGTATTTTAACAAAGGATCAAATGTTGCAGATGCAGTGATAAATCTAAATTAATTTAATAGAATTTATGCACATTGGTTATTGATAGAGTAATGACTGTTGGGAAGCCCCTTGTTTGCACAGCATTTTATGCCAAGCATCATTTATCCAGATGGGATGCAAAAATCTGCAGTAACCAAACACCGTAAATTATAATACAGTATTTTAAACTAGAAAATAGCCCCAGCTAGCAGCAGGGATTTAAAGTAAACCATTATGAAAATGGTTACAGTGACCTGAAAGGGTCATACATAGTTAATACCAGCCTTAAGGCTTGGAACTTGGGCCAGGACCATCTGCCTAGTGATCATCGAGTTTATTTTAATTAAACCCCATGGGCTTCATGGAATGTGGGGCTGAGTTACAGTTGAATTTAGTAGTGGTTCTTGAGTGAGGCTCTGGAGAGAATTCCTGGGGAAGAGTAGTGATGAGTCAAACTATTGAGATCTGAGAATAGAAGTTCAGTAGTTACTGCCTTTCAGTAAGGAAAAGGCCATTTCTTGTTGCTCTTTCATGCATTGGAGATTAATTTCTTTATAATGACAAACAAAAGGGAAAATTGTATTATTCTTCCAATTAACAAAATGATGTAGTGTAAAAGAGAAAAGAGAATTTCCTTGAAAATTTATGATTTACAAATATTGATTTGGACATAAAGAAATGACTGCAGGACTATACTCATTCAATACTGTGTTACTAATTTACTACCCATTAATTAAATTTTTATTCCCTCTTCTGACACTATTTCTTCACAGCCAGGTCAGTGCAATTGGGTAGAGTCTGTTTCATGCTTACCAGATGGAAGGCTAAGCCTCTACCATTCCTTGAAGAAAATGACTCATCTGTGTTAAGTGCTTCATATAAATATATTAATTTACCATGTCTCTGTATACCTGATAACTTGTATCACCTCAGTTTTGGAAGAGCATTGGGTAATTCTTTAAATGCCTTCCCACAGTGTTGTTCATCTCTAAAAAATTCAAGGAGTATATAAAAAGTGAAAAACAACTTTCATATTTATTTTCATATTGATTAAATATCTTGGGAATTGGAATATTGGCTACTGGGAAGGGACAAAATTTTTCTACATAATCCTAAAATCCATAATACCAGATCTATATGTATTGTATATTAGTGGATATTTTCTATGCCTTGGATGTTTGTAAAAAAAAAAAAAAAGTATTGTCAGGTTAAATAATGTCTGTACATTTGAAATTTACTCAGGAGTGTGAATTGCCATACCTCATCATGGTACAGTATTTCATTCACTTGTCAGGGCAGCAGCAATGAAGTATCACCTCAGTATCAATGTGGGACCAGTGTCACTTAGAGGAAACCATTCCTTAAATCATGCTATTAGCTAGACTACAGTTCTCTTTAATCCCTTTAAAAAATTAAAATATTTGTTTTGTCAAGAACTATTATTGGTTTACAATTATAACTTGTTATACCCTTTGGTGTTAAAAAGAGCATGTGAAAGATAAAAATAATGCCTCTAATTTTAGTTACAACTGAAGAATTTGGGCATGAGGTTCATGATGACAGTGGCTTGAACCTACCCTGTGAAGTTCTAAGCCAGAAATAAGAATAACTCTAATCATATGCAATGTTTCCTGTGTACCACAAGGAAAGTTCAAACTAAGTTATTCTTGTAATTGTAGAAAATACTGAAGCTTCACAACTTGTAGCCCTTGTGGCTTAGCGCTTCTTTTTGATTATAATAATAATTCACAACTTGTACGAGTTCTTACATAGAGAGAAATAGCATATAATTGACAGGTATGTTGTTAGACTCAGGTACTGCTGTTGGTCATTGGTGTTCAGAACAATCCAGGTAGCAAAATTTGTTTGATTAAAAAAAACAGTCTTATCCTAGGTAAATTATCCAGTATTTCCTGGCTCTTTTGTATAATATTGAAAGCCACCAAATTTTACCATATTAAAAGCTTAGCAGTCAAGCAATGATGCTTTGTTCTATGCAGTAGGAATAAGATAAAATTCTTGTAGTTAAATTTGATATCACTATGTGTTGCCTTAATGTGTTAGTGTATATAGTGTGTGTATATTACCCTGTGTACAGAAACTAATTTTCTAGCAGTGCAACTTATAATGTGATGGTTGAGCTTGTAAATACACAAGTTTGCCTGTTTGTTATTGGACAGTCTTCATTACGGTCTCACTCACTTTTTTGACATTGGTTACAATTTTGGGAATCTTATTTTGTAAAAAGCTTAGTCCATAATTTATAGGCTCAGCCTTGGATTTGATGGTGTCCATCAATAAATGCAGATGAAAGTTGGGACTTATTGACTATGAATATCATACAATAAGCCATCAAGGTCTTATTTTTTCATATGCAGGACAGATTAGATATATAATACTCTTATGACTTTTTTCCTTTCTCCACTAAAAAAAAATTAATGTTCTAAACATGGAGTTACATTTTAATTTTCACACTATATGTGATTATGGCCAAATTCATTAGCAGCATACAGTGTATGCTGTAAATAATAATCAGAAAAAGCCTGGGGAGCTGGAAAAAAAAAATTGAATGTCTGGGATCTGATATGTTTTACTAAAACCATGCTTTATGCAAATTACTGTATATCAAATTACATTTTACCATAGACTCCCTTTATGTAATTGCAAACAGCACTCAAGAGGGAAAATAAAATTTTCACCCTAAAAATTGCAGACATGACAATAGAGACTTAAGCAATAAGTTCACTGGCTAGACAGTGATGGCTTGTGTTACAACCTTTAATACAGCATCATCATTCCATCATACTCCTCCCCTCCATGCTTTTTTTTTTTTTTCCTTCAGAGGTAGCTTTTTCACTTGGCTCCTCCTCATAGGAGGAAATGAAAAAACAGACTCTTCAACCTTATGCCTTTCTCTTCCTCTGATGTGTATTTATGCACATGTAATGCACGAATTAGTCATATGGCCACATCAGAAAAAAGTGCACAGTTTCCATTGATTCTAGGGTTCTGTGTTCTTGGTGTGGATCACTTCCTGTAGTGATTGTTACTTAGGTATATCTACTGCTACTTAGCTACATTTAGGCATTGCAGAAAATGAACCTGTACGAGTGGTTGTAAGATTAACTATAACCGTTGCTGTGCCACAAGCCACTATAACCTTACAAAATTAGTTATGTACTATATCACTATCCAAGGGTTTCATATAACAAAGATTTTCACTAATGTATCATCAGTTGTATTATACTATATATATATACATTGTACAACAAAATTTTGTTAATCAGGGATTCTCTGTACCATTAAAACAACTAAGAATATACATTCTGAGAAGAGACAGATTAAAACATTATATGCTACTATAATACAGTAACTAAATTTTTTTCCTTGTTAATAAAAGATGATAAATATGAAAAAAAAAAAAATGCTAGAGTGAGAATGGAATTAAAAGTTTGGAGAGTACATTATACATAAATGTGTAAATATTATAATGTACTGTATATACGAGTGAAAACACACACAATACAGCCTCTCCTCACTTAACCGAGTTCCATTCCTAGGACCACATCGGTAAAGTGAGGAACATATTATGATGGTACTGGGTTTGTGTCAACCATCTTTGATATTGTTTTAATGTCACCTTTGCACCATTTATAACATTTCTGATATATTTTTAAATGTTTATACAGTAGTGTACTGTATATTATAATAAACAGAATAGAAATAATCAGTGTTAATATACATTATTTACGTATGCATACTGGTCAGAGAGCCTGTCGTAAGTCTGAGTCGTCGGTAAACGAGTACCTTGCTAAGTGAGGAGAGGCTGTATTTAGTTGGTGCAATGTTCATGTGGGGTGAAATTTTGAAGAAAATATGAAGTGGTTTACCACGTGTTAACTTCAGTGGATGCAGAGTCCTGCCAATGGATTTGCTTTGACAGTTCAACAGTCATTGTATAATCCAGTTTTGTCCATGAGTGGCATGGCAAGTGCATGTGATTAATTTCCAGTATTATGTAGGTAGTAGGTTGGTAGACAGCAACCACCCAGGGAGGTACTACCGTCCTGCCAAGTGAGTGTAAAACGAAGCCTGTGATTGTTTTACATGATGGTAGGATTGCTGATGTCTTTTGTCTGTCTCATAAATATGCAAGATTACAGGCATGTCTTGCTACTTCTACTTACACTTAGGTCACACTACACATACATGTACACATTTATTTATACACACTCATCTGAGTTTTCTTTGATTTTATCTTAATAGTTCTTGGTCTTATTAATTTTCCTTTTATATCCATGGGGAAGTGGAATAAGAATCTTTCCTCCGTAAGCCATGCGTGTTGTAAAAGTCAACTAAAATCCCGGGGGGGAACAATGGCTAGTAACCCCTTTTCCTGTAAAGATTACTAAAAAGAATAAGAAGAAGAAAATGTCAAAGGTGGGAAGTCTGAATGTGCGTGGATGTTGTGCAGATGATAAGAAGAGATGATTGTGGATGTTATGAATGAGAAGAAGCTGGATGTCCTGGCTTTAAGTGAAACAAAGCTGAAGGGGGTGGGAGAGTTTTCAGTGGAGAGGAATAAATGGGATTAGGCCCAGGGGTTTCAAATAGAGTTAAGAGCTAAAGAAGGAGTAGCAATAATTTTGAAGGATAAGCTATGGAAAGAAAAGAGGGACTATAAATGATTAATTCAGGATTATGTGGAGTAAAATAAAGATTGGATGTGAAAAGTGGGTTTAAATAAGCGTGTATGCACCTGGAGAAGAGAGAAGTTTTAGGGGAAAGAGAGAGAGATTTTGGGAAAATGTTGAGTGAATGCGTGGGGAGTTTTTTGAATCAAGTGTGAGAGTAATGGTGGTTGGGGATTTTAATGCTAAAGGGGTAAAAATGTTTTTGGAGGGAGTAGTAGGTAAATTTGGGGTGCCAGGGGTAAATGTAAATGGGGAGCCTTTAATTGAGCTATGTGTTTGAAAGAAATTTGGTAATAAGTAATACATATTTTATGAAAAAGAGGATAAATAAATATAAAAAGGTATGATGTACACGTAATGAAGATTTATTAGATTATGTATTGGTGGATAAAAGGTTGATGGGTAGGCTCCAGGATGTACATGTTTATAGAGGGGCAACTGTATATCGGATCATTATTTAGTTGTAGCTACAGTTTGAGTAAGAGGTAGATGGGGAAAAAAGGAAGGTGGCAACAACAAGTAAAGAGGGAAGGTGAAAGTGTAAAAAACTAAGGGAGGAGGAAGTTCGGGTGAGATATAAGGACTATTGGCAGAAAGGTGGGCTAGTGCAAAGATGAGTAGTGGGGGGGTTGAAGAGGTTGGAATAGTTTTTAAAAAAGCAGTATTTTGAATGTGGGGCAGAAGTTTGTGGTTATAGGAGGGGGGGGCAGGAGGAAAGAGGAAAGGATTGGTGAATGATGAAGTAAAGGGTGTGATAAAAGAGAAAAAGGTAGCTTTATGAGAGGTTTTTACAAAGCAGAGTGTTTAAAGAAGAGCAGAGTATATGGAGAGTAAAAGAAAGGTAAAGAGAGTGGTGAGGAGAGTGCAAAAAGGAGAGCAGATGATAGAGTGGGAGAGGCACTGTCAAGAAATTTTAATGAAAATAAGAAAAAATTTTGGAGTGAGTTAAACAAGTTAAGAAAGCCTAGGGAAAATATGGATTTGTCAGTTAAAAACAGAGTAGGGGGGTTATTTGATGGGGAGATGGAGGTATTGGGTAGATGGCGAGAATATTTTGAGGAACTTTTAAATGTTAAGGAAGAAACAGAGGCAGTAATTTCATGCACTGGTCAGGGAGGTATACCATCTTTTAGGAGTGAAGAAGAGCAGAATGTTAATGTTGGGGGGAGGTACGTGAGGCATTACGTAAAATGAAAGGGGGTAAAGCAGCTGGAACTGATGGGATCATGACAGAAATGTTAAAAGCAGGGGGGGATATAGTGTTGGAGTGGTTGGTACTTTTGTTTAATAATGTATGAAAGAGGGGAAGGTACCTAGGGATTGGCAGAGAGCATGTATATCCCTTTATATAAAGGGAAAGGGGACAAAAGAGACTGTAAAAATTATAGAGGAATAAGCTTACTGAGTATACCAGGAAAAGTGTACGGTAGGGTTTATAATTGAAAGAATTAGAGGTAAGACAGAATGTAGGATTGCGGATGTATGCAAGGAGGTTTTAGAGTGGTAGGGGATGTGGTAGATCAGGTGTTTACATTGAAGCATATATGTGAACAGTATTTAGATAAAGATAGGGAAGTTTTTATTGCATTTATGGATTTAGAAAAGGCATATGATAGAGTGATAGAGGAGCAATGTGGCAGATGTTGCAAGTATATGGAATAGGTGGTAAGTTATTAAATGCTGTAAAGAGTTTTTATGAGGATAGTGAGGCTCAGGTTAGGGTGTGTAGAAGAGAGGGAGACTACTTCCCGGTAAAAGTAGGTCTTAGTACAGGGATGTGTAATGTCACCATGGTTGTTTAATATATTTATAGATGGGGTTGTAAAGGAAGTAAATTGCTAGGGTGTTTGGGAGAGGGGTGGGATTAAATTATGGGGAATCAAATTCAAAATGGGAATTGACACAGTTACTTTTTGCTGATGATACTGTGCTTATGGGAGATTCTAAAGAAAAATTGCAAAGGTTAGTGGATGAGTTTGGGGAATGTGTGTAAAGGTAGAAAGTTGAAATTGAACATAGAAAAGAGTAAGGTGATGAGGGTGTCAAATGATTTAGATAAAGAAAAATTGGATATCAAATTGGGAGGAGGAGTATGGAAGAAGTGAATGTTTTCAGATACTTGGGAGTTGACATGTCGGCGGATGATTTATGAAGGATGAGGTTAATCATAGAATTGATGAGGGAAAAAAGGTGAGTGGTGCGTTGAGGTATATGTGGAGTCAAAAAACGTTATCTATGGAGGCAAAGAAGGAATGTATGAAAGTATAGTAGTACCAACACTCTTATATGGGTGTGAAGCTTGGGTGGTAAATGCAGCAGCGAGGAGACGGTTGGAGGCAGCGGAGATGTCCTGTTTTAAGGGCAATGTGTGGTGTAAATATTATGCAGAAAATTCGGAGTGTGGAAATTAGGAGAAGGTGTGGAGTTAATAAAAGTATTAGTCAGAGGGCAGAAGAGGGGTTGTTGAGGTGGTTTGGTCATTTAGAGAGAATGGATCACAGTTAGAATGACATGGAAAGCATATAAATCTATAGGGGAAGGAAGGCGGGGTAGGGGTCGTCCTCGAAAGGGTTGGAGAGAGGGGGTAAAGGAGGTTTTGTGGGTAAGGGCTTGGACTTCCAGCAAGCGTGCGTGAGCGTGTTAGATAGGAGTGAATGGAGACGAATGGTACTTGGACCTGACGATCTGTTGGAGTGTGAGCAGGGTAATATTTAGTGAAGGGATTCAGGGAAACCGGTTATTTTCATATAGTCGACTTGAGTCCTGAAATGGGAAGTACAATGCCTGCACTTTAAAGGAGGGGTTTGGGATATTGGCAGTTTGGAGGGATATGTTGTGTATCTTTATATGTTTATGCTTCTAGACTGTTGTATTCTGAGCACCTCTGCAAAAACAGTGATAATGTGCGAGTGTGGTGAAAGTGTTGAATGATGATGAAAGTATTTTCTTTTTGGGGATTTTCTTTCTTTTTTGGGTCACCCTGCCTCGGTGGGAGACGGCCGACTTGTTGAAAAAAAAAAAAAAAAAAAAAAAAAATGAACATGTCAGTGGCATGTCAAGATGTAAGGAAATTGGTAAAAAATGTATTACAGTACAGTATTTTTTCCAGAGTTAAACATGTAAATACTACGTATAATGGTATGCCAATGCTTATCCGCCAACACAGCATTGAAAATGAGTGACCATTCCCTCGGTCTGAACCACCTCTCTCTTCATCTCGAGAAACAAAATAGCCTTCATTTATTGGCTCTATAAATGTCATTGACTTATTCCTGAATCTTATCCCATTATAAAATATTTGACACATTGCTCTGTGAAAATTAAAACTAACATTGTCACATGCAACTGCAGGGTACGACATGGTTTCCAGTCTTGCATTTTATCAAAATACGTACAGTGAACTGCTGTTTATCAAGATCCTAGTGGATCAGAAAGCAGAATGTAAATTATAAACTGATTTGGTTATGGCCTTGCCTTCAAAGATAAGTGCTAATAAGTAAAAATAGTAATTATTACCCGATTTAATTATGTTTGAGAGCAATGTGTGATGGGAATATCATGCAGAGAATTTGGAGCATAGAAATCGGGTGATCTAATATGGTAACACATGCTTGGTATACTATGGCTCAACCCCATGCCTCTTAAAACCTCCTCTGTGCCCTTCAATTCTTTATA